GTCCACGAGATGGGACACTGGAACCATTTCTCAGGTAGAAGTTTGGACACGGGGTGACAATCTAATTTCCGATTCACTACGCTAACTTCGCATGAATGCCTACTTATTTGGCAGTAGTAGGTATGTTTTGTTTAACTTCTTTGGCGTCGCCTGTTTCTCAACACGAAGGAACAACGTGGTCTATCCATGTATTTCATTGACCCCACAGGGAAATCTTTACTAGTGTAGTTTAGCATAGGTTAGTCGTCAGTTTAGTTTTTAGTTTATTATTTAGTTTTATTATTTTATGTTAGTTTAGATTAGGTAGTTTGATTTTATTAGCGATTTGCGGTTGCTTTTCGGTTTAAAAATTTCGAAAGTTCGCAATTCTTCGCGCAGTTCCGCAATTTGCGGAGTTCTTGTTTCCTATTGGTTATACTTCTCCCTTTAATAATTGTGCGCTTTTTGTTAGCAAACATTAGGTTATTTAAATAATGGTTTCTATTATTGTCTACTTTTATACGCTGTTACCGACACGGGAATAGATAGCAGCGTATAATAGGTAGTTCTGAACTAAATTCTAGACAGTACTCTAACTGTAACCTCTATCGTAACTGTCCTAGAGCACGGTAACCAGTGGACAACTATATCCATGTCCTACCCACTACGATAGAGAAGTCAGAATAAAGTGATACTTTGTGCGTACAAACGATAAATCCTCGTCACCAGTAAATAAACACTGAGAAGCAGGCAATTTGTCACAAAAATAATATACGCGTTCAAAAAAAGCATACTTACGTGGAAAAGGCGAAGTATCCGGTAGAAGGAGGCTGAGGTCACGCCGAATCTCGACTCCCAACCACATCACTGGCTGACCTAAAATGCCCCCAAAATACCTTACGTGAAGCACAACCTTTCGCTTTACCATTTATGACCAATATATTGGTTCAAAAACCTACCCAGGTTGTCAGTGTTAGTTTTCTCTTTGCCCAAGTTCAAACGAAGTCCGACGGTATCCAGTCCTTAATGAACGCAAAAAGGACACAAGGTATCAGAGAACTAAAGAACGACAGACACAGTCTAAGGGAGGAAAGAGACGATAGAAAGTCTGGTAAATCACCCTGTTTCACAGCATCAACTAAAGAGGTGAGCTGTTCTGCTGAGGATGCAAGGCAGAGATAATCATCGATGTAGCGCAGAACAGCCGCTGGAGGCCGCGAAGACGGACGAGTGTCCGATTTGCATAGAGCCTTTCTGGTGCGATCAAGGGCCCAACAGTACTGACCCAATCCGGTACGGTCAGTGTTGGCCAAAAAGAGATTGGCCAGATCCGTGGAGATGCAGGAGCCCTGAGGAATGCCTCGGGTTTGGCAGAACAGTTGTCCGCCCAACTGATAGAAAACAAACGAAAGGAGTCAAAGAAGGCAGGGGAAGGAATAACAACCGGAAGCCGAAAAATACCAACAGTAACCAGATTCTCAGGCAGACAGGATGAGCCCACACAATGTATTTTGCGACCGGTAGGAAAGTGTACGTACTTTGTAACGTTTCCGTGGACGATGTAACCCCAATACCAACGGAGAGCGAGCACTGGATACTGTAGGAGTCTAAGTAGTGGTTGTATGCGGATCACTACAACCATCAGGCCGAATCCCGGGTTTAAAATTATAAAGTAGAAGGCAAGAGTCACCAGAAGGAGTGGATTATTGTGTACAAAACTCCCAATTGCTGTCTTAGGTGGCAGTGGCCACTGGCGATGCCAGGGCTAGTGTTGAATGCGTCCAGCCAGGCCTGAGATAGAACGAGGTAGTGGTGGCAGCGGCTTAAGTAGGATTGTGAAGCGAGTTCAAGCGGTTTGCGATTGGTGTGTTGCAATTGCCCGAGAGAATATCGCCTGCAAAGGCCCCCTGCTGCGTTGGTCAAAGAAGTGACGTGATAAGTGGCCCTTAGTAAGGCGTGCTTATTTGGACGCGCGTGTATGTGCATGACTGAATAAGCTGAGGTCAACTGTGCGGGGTCGCCGGAAAGCCTAAGGACAGT